TTCAGTTCCCACTTTTAAATTTAATAATTGTACAAAGCGAGTTATTTTATCTGTGATATCACAAATTTTTGATCCTTTAGGACTGATCGCACCTGTCGTTATACAAGGAAAATTGATTTTACAAGAACTTTGGAAAGATAAGAAAGATTGGGATGAAAGTGTTTCTGCAAACGTTGAAAATAAGTGGTTCAAGTTTGCCACAAAGTTAGGGACATTATCACACTTAGTTATTGATCGTTGCGTTTTTCATCACAAACGTATTATAAGTATTCAACTTCATGGTTTTGCTGATGCGTCTTCATATGCTTATGGAGCATGCTTTTATGTTAAAACCACATATGAAGATAAAACTACGAGTGTGAAACTACTGTGTGCGAAATCAAAAGTTGCACCTTTAAAACCGATAACTTTAGCGAGGTTGGAATTGTGTGCTGCATTATTATTGGCTAGGTTGTTCAGAAGGGTGATTGATAACATTGATATAAATTTTGAAAAGGTTTTACTTTGGAGTGACTCAAACATTGTCTTGTCATGGATCGCTGGCGATCCAAATAGATGGCATATTTTTGTGAGCAATAGAGTAGGAGAAATTACTGACATTACTCCCGGCACAATCTGGAGACATGTGCCTTCTGATTTCAACCCAGCAGATCTAATTTCACGAGGCTTATCCGCAGATCAATTAAAAACTTGTGAGCTATGGTGGAATGGCCCAAGTTGGTTGTCTGAGAATACTGATAGGTGGCCAAATGTTGATCCTTCTTTGGACGCTGTTCTACCCGAACAAAGAGTTCTATTAGTTAAAGAAAACAGCAGTTCTTTTCTTGATACTTTCTGTCAGCGATTCTCTTCGCTAAGAAAAATGACTAGAGTACTAGCTTACTGCTTAAGAATGAACCCTTATATTAAAAGGTCGATAGGTCGTGGTGATCACAATACGTTATCGGTCCCAGAATTAGATAATGCGTTGAAGGTAATTTTAAAATTGGTTCAGTTAGAAACCTTCACAAAAGTAATAAAAAATCTGCAAGATAGTAAACATACTCCTAGTCTTAAATTGATGTCGGAATTGAAATCGCTTCATCCTTTCTTAGATAAGTCAGGTTTTTTGAGAGTGGGTGGTAGGATAGAAAATGCTGATGTTTCTTATGAACAAAAGCACCCAATAATTCTGCCCAAAAAACATTATGTTACAAGACTCTTATTGAAACAAGAGCATGAAAGGTTGATGCATGCGGGCACGCAAACGGTTTTAGCAAATATTCGTCGAAAATATTGGCCCTTGAACGCGCGAAGAGAGCTAAAAGCGATAATACACTCATGTGTAAAATGTGCAAAAATTAAAGCTGTCACTGCCTCTCAATTAATGGGAAGTTTACCCATTGATAGAGTTAAATTTCAACGCCCTTTTTTTAATGTTGGGGTTGATTACGCAGGACCGCTGACGATAAGATCGAGTCGATTAAGGAAAGCACCAAGAATTAAGGCTTATATTGTTTTGTTTGTTTGCATGGTGACTAAAGCTGTTCATTTAGATATTACAACTAGCCTCACAGCAGAATCATTTATTTGTGTTTTAAAGAGATTCGTTTCTCGTAGAGGTCTATGTTCGGTAATAAATAGCGACAACGGAACGAATTTTATAGGCGCTAATCATGAGTTGCAAGAGCTACGGAATCTTTTTAGTAAACAATCCTTCAAGACAGATATAATTAACCAAGCTGCGACAATGGGCATAACTTGGAAGTTTATTCCTTCTCATTCCCCACATTTTGGTGGATTGTGGGAAGGAAGTATTAAAATTATGAAATATCACCTTCGAAGGATAATAGGCTCCTCCTGTTTAACTTATGAGGAATATTTAACAGTACTATTACAGGTGGAAGCAATTCTTAATTCACGTCCTCTTATGGCAATAACAGATGATGTTTCTAGTTTTCAGTACTTATCGCCTAGTCATTTTTTGATTGGAGATTTTTTAACTACAATCCCAGAACCAAACGTAAATTTTGATAAATTAAATTCATTAACGGTATATAAGCAATTAACTGCCATGCGAGATAAATTTTGGACTTTATGGTCAAAGGATTATTTATCTTATTTGCAAAAACGTAATAAATGGTCAGATAACCAGCCAAATTTGAAATTAAACTCGATAGTTTTGATTAAGGAGGATAACCTTCCCCCATTAAAATGGTGCTTGGCTAGAATTGTTAATTTAAATTATGGTCGTGATGGTAAAGTTCGAGTGGCAGAAGTTAAAACCTCAAATGGAACCTACACAAGACCTATTCATAAATTAGTGCCTTTGCCAATTAATGATTAATAGTGTAAATAACAAATATTTGTATCTTGTGTTATTTCTTGAATGTAAACTAATTTAATTGTATTTTGTATTAGAAAAAATGTATGATTTTTTTTGAATGTAGCTAAGTTAATTACTTTAAGTTTTGTAGTTGCTATTAAGAAACTTATACTTATTTTGTATGTGACTTAAGATATTATCTACTAGATTTAACTTTGTTTATTTAATTTTGGATGCAATTGTGCATCGAGTGGGAGTATGGAAAGAATTGTATATGGTAACACCATTATTTTTGTTCACACTAGTCAACACTGCTGCTGCAGTATTATCAGTACCAGCAGTAACTAGAATTCAATAGATAGATTTTGGGATTATAACTGTTCAGGTCGATAGTACCTTTTATCAGTAAATCGATATCATTGTGATTTCCGTACTCCGTTACAATTATTTGGCAAATAAATTGAATCAAATTAAAATAGTGTTTAATTTATAAAATAAGTTCTGCAAGACATACAGTATACGAATTTCTTGGAAATACGTCCACGCGTAGTTCACCAAAATGCCGATTATTTCTATAAATAACGTTCTACGACGAAAAAATCTTGTTTTATAATAATCTTAAAGGTCTAATTAATAAAATATAACAGATTTAGTTCGTCCACTTTCCTATTTTCTCTAAAATACGTCTTTAAAGTCAAACGTCCCTTAACATCCCGTAATATGGTACGTTTACCTTAATTAAAATTTTAACTAAATCGCCTTGCATTAAAAATTGGATTAACACGATAGAGGGTTTGAGTTACATTTGGCACAAATCAAAAGTAGTTTAGGGTTTTAGTTACTTGAACCAGAAATTTTAACCAAGATTCGTTGAAGAATATTTTTAGTTGCATAAGGAGTCAAGGGGCTTCGAATACTAATCCAAGTTGTTATCTTTTGTGCCTGCCTTTAGAACTTTGCTAGTCAACAATTTATCATCTCGTCATTCACCTTCTGCTAATTGCGAAATCGATGATACAACCGGGTTACTTGCCACATTTTGAGTGTTTTTGCATAATGAAGATGTTTTGGATACGGACTCTCTGATCAATAATGTCTAAAACAAAACCTCTCTCTGGAAGTTAAAAATAATGAAATATTTTAACATGCAATATTGTTACGAAACCCCTCTCCATATATGTCTAAACTAGTGATGTGCCGACTCGAAAATTTCCTGATTCGAGTGATTTTCCTGATCAGAAAAAAACCTGATTCGAATTATGATTCGAATCAATTCGAATCAAGTTCATATATGAACAATTATAATTTAAGACAAGAAATAATATCACTTTAATAATTTTAAGTTGAAAATAATAAAATATTTTAACATGCAATATTGTTACGAATGTGTGGGTGACAGCCCATACACACATGAAAATTACATAAAGCCACCCCTCTCCATATATGTGTAAACCATCCCTGATGAAGAGTGTGGAAGAGTCCGCAAGTGGAAGTAGTAGAATATACGCCCTCAGGGGTGACAGTCGGAAGAATCCTTCTTAAGCATTAGTCCCTAACAGTTGTTTTGGTAGTGGTAGTAATAGCCCAAGAGCATGAGTCCGATATGAGTCGAAGGGATGAGCTCGGTGTTGTGCGCGAAGTGTTTTATAATTGATGTTGTGATAATATAAGCTAAAGGAATGTTATGAGGGACAGCGCATCGAAAGCTGTCCCCAAACCGAAAGTAAACTATTAATTAAAATGTGACTAGTGTGTGATGTGAATCGGGAGCCCGAAGTATGGACACGATAGACAATGGTGGTTACAGATAAGTCTAGATTCAAGTTGTATAGTTCAGATTGAGATTAGTATAAGTATGTAAATATGTGAATATAAAATATTGTTTAGTTAAGTCACGAACAAAAGCTCTAATATTTAGTTTTTCAGCAGTGCGGGATAGAAGATAAAAGTAATATTTAAGTAACAAATGATCAAATAATTAAATAATCCGCAACTAGCAATAAAATAATTCATAACAAAAGGGTTATAAATAAAAGAATCCGTAACAATAATTTTAACTTCCCGCAGGGTAAGTTATAGTAATTGCAAAAAAAATCGAAAATGAAAAACCGTTTCAAAGGTTTCAGAGAAAATTTGTACACACATACATACATATACATCCATTTATTTTAAGGTATGTTGAAATATTAATTTTGATTTTTATTTTTTGCATGATTACTATAACCTACTCTATGCGTAGTTAATAAGTGACCAATAATAACAAATATTATTTATAACAAGTTTTAATTTTTATGTTATACATATGTACATAATTAAATAAAAAACAATTTAATTTAAATAATAACACTATATATTCATTTAATAACTTCTGCCAGTATACAATATTTGGCGAGCAATGAAGTAAATATTATATTTTATTAGTCACCACAAATATTTTCAAAGATATTTTATAAACAATATTTACCAAAGCATCCTGCACGAATGAGAACGTCTGCTATTTATAATTATAATGTCTTACTGTGTTTAAAATGATCAGTTCTCATGATTGTTTTGGTTTGAATGGCATTTTAATCGATGTTTAGATTTTAATGTTTTATTACAAATTTCACTTTTATAAGGATGTTCTACAGTATGAACAGTTTATGTTGGTTTAATTGGTTGGTGTAGTTGCGAATGTTTCATTGCATGTGGCTCATTAATGATTGCTTTCTCTTGTGTGTACAAATTCATGTTGTTTCAAATGTTCTTTTAATCTGAATGCATAATTGCATATCTTGCATTTATGCAGTCGTTCTCCAGTATGAATCATTAGATGTCGGATTTTATGCTGATTTAAACTTTGTTTAGTTGCGAAAGTTTTTTTACATACTGCACATTCATGATTACTTTCTTTAGTATGGACAAAATAATGTTGTTTTAATTGGCTTTGTCTTGTAAATGCTTTACTGCATATTAAGCATTTATGTAGTCGTTCTCCAGTATGAATCATTAAATGTTGTTTTAATGTTTCTTTTCTTGTGAATGATTTATTGCATAATGCACACTTTTGAGGATGTTCTCCAGTGTGGATCATTTCATGCTGACTTACACTATGTTTAGTTGCGAATGTTTTTTTACATACTGCACATTCATGATTACTTTCTTTAGTATGGACAAATTCATGTCGCTTTAAATTGTGTTTTAATCTGAATGCTTTATTGCATATCTTGCATTTATGTGGTTTTTCTCCAGTATGATTAATTAAATGTTGGTTTAATGGTTGTTTTGCTATGAATGCTTTATTACATATTTCACATTTGTAAGGACGTTCTTCCGTATGAATCTTTTTATGTTGGCTTAAATTACTATTTGTTATAAATGCTTTAGTGCATATTTCACATTTGTAATGACGTTCTTCTGTGTGAATCTTTTTATGTTGACTTAAATTACCATTAGTTATAAATGCTTTATTACATATTTCACATTTGTAGTGACGTTCTCTTGCATGAAATTTTTTATGCTGACCTAAACAACTATTTGTTATAAATGCTTTATTACAGGTTTCACATTTGTAAGGACGTTCTCCTGTATGAATCATTTTATGTCGATGTAAGGTGCTAATTCTTGAGAAATTTTTATTGCAAATTTCACATGTCAAGGGTTGTTTCAAGTTTAGGGTAGCTTTACGTTTTTCTAAAACTTTTTTAAATGATTTATTACATTCACTTGTATTATCCACTAAATCACTTAACTCACCAAAATGATCAATATTTTTGTTTTTACTGGTGTCTGCAAGGTGCTCATCAATCGATTCATGCTTAACCTCTTCGTCAATTGTTACTTCAGATTTTAAAAATTGCTGTAGACATATTTCTTCATTTTCCGTGTAAGAATTCTCATGGAAACGAGCTTCATCTTGATCATCAATTTCTTTTTTGATTTTTTCGTCTATAGTGACTTCAGAATCTAAAAATCGCTGTTGATATATCTCCTCGTTTTCCATGTAAGATTCCACGCCGAAACTTCTTTCATCTTGATCATCAACTGTTTCTTGTTTTATTTTTTCGCTTATTTTTATCTCAAATTCTGAAAATTGCTGTAGATATATTACCTCGTTTTCTAAATATGTTTCTGGAGTAATGTCATAATCATCAAGTTCTTGTTTAACTGGAGAATATTCCTTTGGTTCAGTTTTAATTATTGGGTTTGAAATTGTTTCTTCGGACATTTTCGGCGCTAGTCGTTTTTCATAAACAAACCAACAGTAATTTATAAAAAATTAAGAAAGCTTTCAATTTGTATGCTTTGCATCAATGATAAATATGTTTTAATATACACATATCTATTAATTCGTTTTGACTTTGACATTTGATTTGAGTCTCACTTCGCATAAGATTGAGATCAGGTGTGACAACACTCAGTACGTTTCATTTATCATGGACCATGGACCATGGACCTACATCCTCAGTACAAAATCCGCGTTCACAACGCTTAGTTCCAGTCACGAACGCAAGGTGCAAATTTGGCGCTAGTGAGCCGATGTCATGTTTGACAGGTAAGTAATCCACGAGCAATATATACAAGAAATGTCAAAACATGAAAACTTTCATATAGGTTATCGTATATGAGACATCCATTTTGTTTTGATTCTTATTGTGAATGTTGTGTTTACAAGTGTTTTATAATTGTTTATAAGGTTTTATTTGTGATTCAATCAGATCTATAACTCTTAAATGAAGAGGATATAAAGCAGGTGCTAAAGCTGTGTATATAATAAATTTTAATCACAATACATTTTAGGAGCAAAGCTCTTTTATAAGAAAGGCAAGGCTCCTCTAACTTTTCAGAATTGTATTAAATTTGGAGGCTCTTAAATATATATGGAAAAGCATAAATAGACTAGATTTTACATTGTTTAAGAACGCCCTGAGTTAAGAACGAAAATCCAATTTCAGTGCAAGTTGACAAAATAAGTTAATTTAATGCAGCAGTTTTTTGAATATTCAAGATAATGTCAAGAGCCATTTAGCAGACTGGATTTATCGCAAAGAATGTGCTGAAAAGTGGCAAATCTTACTTACTGACACTATAATTTACACACCATGTTTTTGTGTTCACGTCATTATTGGTAGTGAATAATGAATGATTATCCACTTGAAGGCAGGAATCCTGTAATTTTTAAACTTTATATTTTCTTGATTTATTTAAATAAATATGTGTTGCAATATATTGCTATTTACTTTGATATCTATTTTAATATATGTATTATCATGGGAGTTATCTCCGAACAAATGTATATTACCCTGTTTTGGAAAGGACTACTATTTGTAGCGAAAAAAAGATGTCGCTAAGAAATATGATACACGTCAAAATTACTCGCTTAGATTTGTCATTTGCCATTTTGTATCAAGTTTGTGGTTCGATGTTGTTTCTGTAATTAATGTATTCAAGTAAGCGTTTATGTGAAATTTAATATGGCAAAATGTAACGCACCAACTTGTGGTATTCTTCAGAAATAATATAAAATGCACTTCTTTCCGGCTTTTATGAAGTGAACAAATTAGAAATGTCCAATTATATTTCACAGAATAGTTCTTCATGTCTATAGTTCACAGTGATATAAGAAGAGAAAGACAATCTGATATATGACCAGGAGAATACTCCGGAACTCCAGTGGAAAAGGTAATAATAATTCTGAATAATTTAATACCATTTGCTATTACGACTTGATATTATATTACAACATGTTATGTTTATTAGATGTTCTTGGGAATACAAATTGCAGCAGAATCTAGTGACTGAGGGTAGGAGTGTCTTGATGCCGAGGGCATGTAAAATGTATTGACACACCCATTATATGTTGAGGGAGTTAAGAAGTGGATTAAAATATGTTTTTAATTTGAATTTCGCGCTACTATT